GTCGAATCATGTTTGATAACAAGATAGATCTCTAACATTATCTCTGAATGATTGTGAAATGCAAATACAATGCAACCCCCCTCTATCTATTCATAATCACATTACCACGGAATTCCTCTCTACAATAGCAATAGATAATTCAATTGATTCACTTACAGTATCCCCCCCCCGCCCCTCTCTTTTCTTCTCTTCTCTTCTCTCTCTCTCTCTCTCGTTCTCTCTCTCTCTTTCCCTTGCTCCCTCCCTCTTTCTCTCTTTCTCTCACTACATTCTCCCTACGTGTGCATGTGTAAGCATATTCATGCTGCAAGTGCATTGGAGAACAACACGCATAGACATAAAAGGAAAGCAGTGAGGGCCGGATACAAACCAAATTGAACATCCAATACCACCACAACACACAACGCGAACCATCCAGCAACTTCAACAATTACATTATCGGCATAACATGAGCCACTATCATTCTTTTTCCGTGTTGGAAGCGCATGCATATTGCTCCATGAATAGCATTTACATATCAGCAATGTCTCTCAGGAATTTTCGGGCGTGAGCTCTGGAGAATTATTCCGTATTGTGGTATTGCTGTGTTTGTTGTGCATGACATAATTCTTAAGGGAAAGTAAAGGTAAAACACAAGCGAAAAGATACTTGGTTAGAAATATGTGAAGCTACTGACTTGGCTGTTGGAAATGGCATGATATTAAAGTCTTCTCATACTTTAATATCATGCTAGTTATACGTTACTCTCTAATTGGTTTCTTTAGTGCATACATTTTATCATACCCATTTCGGAGTCTCTCTCTCTCTCTCTCTCTCTCTCTCTCTCTCTCTCTCTCTGGAGCCTGTGATTAATGCCTCATTTATTATTTTGTGTGCATGTAACTTTACTTACACTTTCTCTTTACTTCTTCTTTTTAGTCTTTGGTTAGCTCTGCCGATTTCATTTTGTCCCTGGCAAACGTTACTCTCACCCCTTTGCCTATCTGCATAAGCTGTTTAGTCTCTACCGGAAAGTCGTACGAGCTTTGGCCTTCGTTTCAACCGTGTACTTCACATACAATTTTCCTTCTCATCGCAATGAAGAAATGGTTGATTTGATCCATGTCGAGATTCTCGTCATCAAGAATGAATACATAGAAATATATAAGGCTCCATTCTCTCGTTCTGGCCCTCCTGTAGTGACATGTTCGCATGGTCTCTCTCGCCTCGCAGTCCAGAAAAGCCATCGTTTCCAGCCTCACACTGAGTCGACTGTCCTCCGCTGACGCCAGGAGGTCTGCAACCAGCAAATCAGTAACAACGAAGAAGAAAGCTTAGAGCAAGCAAATTTAACCCTTATTACTCGCAAATATGCTATTATGCTGAATTCCTTTGTATGTAATTGCTATTATTATCAACATTCAAATGTCTTTCCTGAAAACATTTCTATTCAAAGATTTTCAGGCTTGTAAACACCATAACTCTTTTCTTACTTACTAAACATACAATGTTTTTCCACCCTTTCGGGGGGAAACGAAGGCTTGATAAAGCGGGTAATTATGTTTGAGAATAAGGAGAAAGTATAAGAAATCTCGTTATCTGAATTACAAGTAACAGACTAAGGATTTATTCATCATTAATAAAAAATAAAGAAAATAACAATTTGAAAATAGAAAAATCGTACAAACAGAAACAAAGCATCGTTCTTAAAATGTAACATTTCAGGTACGGTGCAGGTCTTAATCAGCGACAGTAGTCCCGCGGCCATAGCAGAGAGAGAGCATTACCGGCCGTCCTGAACGTAAGAAGTGAATTTAAAACTGTTGTTTGTGGAAATGTTCCAGTAACAGCGACGTATATTCGTCTGTTAATGTCTGTTACTGCACATTTTAAATATGGAAAAAAAAAGAGTAAATCCAAAAGGAAAGAGACTGAAAGCGAAATCTATTCTAGTAAACGTGGTGATGAAAGCAACCTCATGTCATGCTTTAGTTTTGGCAAGGATAGTATGAAGCCAATCAAATTGATGTGTCCCCTTGAAAACAGCACGGGATTTTTTTATTTTTTTTATCTTAAGGAAGCTCGATCTTTAATATACAGATGCAGGTCTCACAAAGACCTATTTGTTACAGCTAATAAAGCATGCTATAGAATTGCAAGATATAAAAAAGCTGACAAAATAGTCGAAGATTTGGTAATACCTATTGATACTGATGTCAACGAAATAATGTTCTGTGAATCAAGCCTCTTACAGATGATATAGCTGACAGCATTTCAGACTATAGTGTCAATTTGTGTGATCAAGTTGATAGATGCCAATAAATCTTCGCACTTTGGGTTGCAAGTAGATAAGTCTACCGATGTTGTGAATAATGTTCATTCAAAACCTTATGTACGATATTTATATTTGCCAGTGAAACTAAAGATGATCTACTTAGTGAATCCATATGATTGGTATTTGTTTTTCAATGAACATGGAATACATTAGGAGAACTGGGGTGCTCTATCTGCTGACGGAGCT